GAGAGGAGGAGAAGAAGAACTGGGAGGAGGAGATCGATGCAGCCAACTGTGCAATAGTGCATGATGTAACACGGGCTCATTTGGTGTACCACGACTTTTAAAATTTGAACTGCCGCCAAAAAAAGCAATTTCGCTGCGTATCGGGCACTTAACCATTGGGACTCGATACGTAGCGTTAAAAGGCACTGTAAATTACGACATTTCTGCATTCTGACGTGAAAGTGTTTGCGGAAAACACTGAATTTTCAGCAAAAACAATGCATTTTGCTAATTTTAAGACAAAAAATTGATTTAAAAAAGCAGAAAATGTCTAATTTGACCTGTAGTTTCTACAAAATATAAAAATATCTCGAAAATTTTCAAAAATTTTCATATTTTTTGCATCATGCCAAGCGCCCAATAGAGCGCACTTTCAGCATTTTTGAGTTTTGGTTCGCCAAATGAGCCCGTGATGTAATAAATGTGACAATTAACTGAGATTGCAAGAAAAGATTATAAAAGATCTGTTCAAACGATTATTTCTTTGTGTGTTTCGGTACTCTTTGAGAAGATTTGTTGCTAAGTATCACCCAGATGGCTAGATAATTTTATAAACTGCACAAGGTCGAAAATATTCATCATTAAATTTTATTGAACGGTAAAAAATCATTTTATTCCTTAATTTGTTTCGTGGTTATTCCACCAAAATTCCACGCACCATCCTTGCTCGAGTGCATGCTAGGTGGCACATCCTCTAATGATGGATCTGGAATATATGAAATGTGATTATGTTTTCAATTTTATCCCGCATGGTGTATGCACAGAAAAGGGAGATTCAAGCTCCGCCCCTTTTTCAATCAAAATCTGTGTTGTCTGCACTAAAGTGCATGCACCGTGCAAGAATAAATTCAAAAGGTAATATCATTTTGTCATTTTCTTAATTTTTCTCAGAAAAAAAACTAACCTTCCCCTCTTTGATTCAATTGTTGAATCACTGGCCATTGGAATATAAAGATTCTTATAAAATTTTTTGAAAATCAAAACATTTCTAGACAGGGGAGGCCAGGAATCAGCAGCTAGCCAGGAGGAAGAATGAGCAAAAAGGAAAGTTTGACGGAAGAAAACCGGAGGCGGAGAGGCATGACTCATACCGTACAGTTTTTGTGTAAAGCTTCATAAAATGAAACTTTCAGTCACATTTTTTTAAATATTGGAAATCGCAAAATTGGCTTCGGTTACTGTATGTTATAGACAATGTTCTCGGAAATGAAGGCGCTGACTGATTCCAATTCCTGGTAAATTTCAGCAAAAAAGGCCAACCTGAAAAAAAATAAAAAACAAAAACTGTTTTAAGAAACTAATAAAACATTTAAAAGATAAAAAAAAATCCATGAAAAACTATGAAAAAGATCATAAAGACCTCAATCCATCTGACTTCTGTGGATGAGTGACTAGTGGTGAGGTCATAAATTCCACTGAAAAAAACCAAAAAAAAAAAACAAAGCAATAAAATAATTTTTTATGATTAGTTCCTCGTTCACCGGATTCCAAAATTATCAAATAAATTTTATCGAGTCACCGGAATGCTAGAAGATCATACATATAAAAAATTTATATTAGAATAGACATATTTCTCCATTTCTTTCTCTTTTCCATCATTTCTTTGTAAATGTCTTCTGGGAGTTTTACCTGGAAATTCCAAGTTTGATTCGATCTTACAACTATGACTGGCAGACACTTACGCTATCCATAATGTCTTCGAATGCATATTCCGTTCATCCAGACCCCATAATAGGGTACTGTAGGTTTTTGAACCTCAATACATTGCTCTGAGCGACGACATTATATGCACAAAGACTTTGCATTCTGAGAAGAAAAATGCTTATACATCTAGAATTCAAAAATACAAAACTGAACTTACTCATGAAATTAATTGACCCGACGTTGAGGAATAGTTAGTTTTTTTTACAGATATAAATTAAAAATAATCAAATATACATATCAGTGGAGGCCAGTAGTAAACAGCTAGCCATAGGAAAAAGAGTAAGAATGACGGGTTTGGGGCGAGGGTGCAATCGAAAGCTGTGGGGCTACAAAAAGAAATAGTGTGGGGTTAGAGAAGCTCTAACTCCACACTATTTCTTAATCAATCTATCTACCCATTTTGGACGTCAACCCCTTTGGTTCATTGACTACCCTGTTTTGTTTATTTCGAATTTAAATATGAAATTAGTTTTCTGAACCACTTTCAGATGTTAATTCTTGATTTGAGTGACAAGTAGAGGAAAGAAACCTGTAGTTCAGTTATAGTAAGTCCTATAATTTAATCACGTCTAGTACTGTATGTTCAGAGCAGCATATCTCGATTCCCTTCAAAGCTATCAAAAAGTTGTCAACTGGAGAAATGTTTAAAAAAATATTTTAAGCATTTTATTAGTTGAAAATATTTTGATAGCTGTAAAAGCAACCGAGATATGCTGCTCCGAACATGAACGAAACATTGATCCGAGGTGCACCGAGCGCTTCTTTTTTAACGTCTTATATCTCAGTTGCCGTTGAAGTTATCAAAAAGTAGTAAACTAAAGAAATGTTGGAAAAAGCATTTTACACATTTCACTAGTTAAAAACTTTTCAATAGCTTCAAAGACAACAAGATATGCTGCTCTGAACATACAGTGTCCCCTAAACTACAGGGCTCACAGTATTGTTTGTTACTGTAACATAGAGTGAACTAGTGCAAACCTGATTTCTTGAAAAGTAAAATTTCTGAATTCCATAGTTCCTCAAAATTTGTTTCATGTTCCAAAACAACAGAACAATCAAGCTTATCACATATTTATTACCCAAAAAATCAATCGAAACAAAAAATAACATTCTATTTTTAACAATAACCCAAAATCGACTTGATCGTCTCCCGGATCACCTCGGCAACAGCTTCCTTTGTGCATTCTCCTCTGGAATAGATTTTTGAAAAAATGACATCACCCACAAAAAGAATAAAAACATACTCAAAAGCAGGAACATGGATGAAAAGCGATTTGGAGCAGTCCTCGTGGAGGGATAGGAAATAGGAGTAGCCGCAGAGGTATCTGAAATAAATTTTTTTATTTCATCAATTAGAAAGAAAAGAAAAAAGAAATGCCCCAGTGGGGATTGAACTCGTGGAGCCAAATTTAGGAAAATTGGCAAATAGCATAAGATCACACTATAGTACTTGAGTACTTGACGGTTCAAACCATATTAGGGCTAATTTTTTCCCCACTCACCTTCCCGGATCCTCTGACTTCTTCACAATCAATCCTCCATACTTTTTCTCCCCATCCAGTCCACATCTTTCGGTCACATTAATCACCAATTGGTCACAGTCAATACACGATTTCAGGACCTCTTCCTGACTGGAACAAGTGGTCCGATTGCCTTCTGGAGTGCACCCATTCACATCATTACTACAATAACCATCGGAAAACGCTTGCTGCTCGAACTTGATGGTTTTGGACACGGGATGCACACCGAGATGGATCACAAGCTAGAATTTTCAAACTTTGTTTTTTTTATTACGAAAAAACTCACATCCGGCTTGTGCTCATTCCAAAGTTCTGGAACCTTCTTGCTCACATCCTCATACGCTACCGTAATCTTGTGAAGCTCCAAATCGACATCTGGGAAAAAAAATCGAAATTCGAAAAATTTTTTATTTTGGAAACAGAAATTACCATCAATCCCGGTCTTCTTGAGTTCGTCAATCACCACGGATGACGGATTTTCGTCCTCAAAGCCGCGAAACGGTCCGAAACCTGAAATTCTCATTGGAGCGCATTTGCAACTATCAAGAGATCTTACCCGTGACAACCACCTTCTTTTTCTGCATTGGAATGAACTGAAAAAGGGAAAATTGAAAGGAAAAATGACAGAAAATGGGATTAGACGTTTTAAGAAATTGTGCAAATAGAACAATTTGACCAAGAAGAATTTCGGGTGAACCAGTGGTCAAAAAACCACTAAATGCCTGATTTCTAGCGAAAAAAAGCAAAAAATGATTAAAAACCCACAAAAATCTCATAAAAAGCCCTATTTTCAGCCTTTCCCAGTCTCCTTTCCCATTCTAAACCATTTGTCCAACAGAGCGCACTTGCCCCCAACTTACCTGAAAAGACATATCACATTCTGGTGTACACATGGTCAGCATATCCCCGATTTCACCGGTTACATTTACCTGAAATTTCGGTAACGGCCTAGTTTTTGGAAATTCGGAATTCTAGGCCATCGACTTACTCCCATCATTTTTGATGATTATTGTGGAAGAACCTGGAATTCAAAAGAGAAAAAATAAAACAAAATGATGAATAAAACGGTGAAATGAGAAAAAGAATGAGATAGAAACATCTTGATCAGTATGTCATGTTGTTTTTGTAATGCGGAAGTCATTGAGAGAAAAAAGAAGAGATGATACAAGGTGGACAAGGAAGTTTTTCGAGGTTTTCGGTCAAGAGAGATGATAAGAAAAGGAGAACTACTTCCAAAAGAACAATGTACTTTTAGAAACTGTGCCAATGGAACCTGGGACATCCGGACACACAAAAATCGTCAT